ACGGAGTCATGAAAGCTTCCTTCGTACTGTGTCTTGATAGTGCTTGCGATCAACTCCTGTAGCTGCTGGATAGAGAGAGATCCCATGAATGCCGTTGCTTGGTCTAGCTTCGGCTTCTCTTCAACTTTCTCCGCTGGTGGCTCCTCTTCTTCGTCGACTTCTTTCTTTAATAGGCCAACATTTGGGTCGACTTTCACGTCGGGCAGCGCATCTAGTTGGCTGACAAGTGCGGCAATCTGCAAGTCCTTCTATTCCACAGTTCATGTGAGCTTTGCGATTGCTTCATTCATCTGAGCTAGCTGCTCCTCGATTGAAGTTGCTCCAGTGGTCATGACTTGCATGGTTGTACTGCCGCTCGAATCAGCGTCGGAGAGTAGGGACTCTGAGTATTTCCTCGGGCTTTCTCCCCTTGATGCCCTTAGCGAGGCTAGGGTGATCACATGCTCGTACCTCAGGTGCTCTTGTTCCTTTGACAGAGTTAATGCAGGGGCGGAAGCCGCGGCAAAAAGAGCTCTTGCTTTACTTCGGGTTGTGATGCCCGAAATACCACCACTTGCGGCGATGATGTTCTTGTTCTTTGCTTTGATTGCAGGAACAGCTTGATCCTTTCTTGATGCCATTTGCGTTTTTTCGATGATTTGAGGATAGAGATGAGAGGTAGAGAGGTCCCACCGGGCGTGCCAAATTTGTGAACACGAAAAATTCCTTGAAACAACAAACAAGAATAACGTGCTACAAAATAATATTTTTTGTGTTTAATGATTTTGGGGTTACGATCTCTCTCAAATTTGGTCCTCTGATTCTATCTTCGTAGGGTGTAGGTTTGTGGATGAGTTGTTGATCCAAAGGGCCGTCGGGGCTTGATCTAAGGATGAACAGTTGATGAACGGATGAACACTTTCTTCAAGGGCCGTCGGGGCTTGATCTTGAATAATGGTTGTGTGGATTTCTTCAAGGGCTTTTGGGCTTGATCTTGAAGGTTGATGGATGAGCGGATCTTCAAGGGCTTTTGGGCTTAATCTTGAAGAACGACTGGATGTGTGGATTTGTTGAGGTTGTTGATCCAAAGGGCCGTTGGGGCTTGAGCTTAGGATGAACGGATGAACACTTTCTTCAAGGGCCGTTGGGGCTTGATCTTGAGTTGGTGGAAGTTCTTCAAGGGCCGTTGGGGCTTGATCTTGAAGGAGGATTTGACGAAAAACGAAGAGTGCTTTCTTGATCCTTTGGGATTTTCTTGAGAGCTTTAGAACTCTAAGGCTTCAAGGTTTTGGTGTGTGGAGAAATGTATTTGTGAATTGGTTGATGCTTGATACCTTGATGGAGAAGCCTATTTATAGGCTTTGAGAATGAATCACCACCACAAAATATTTAATGCATTGGTGAACATTTGTTTTTTTTTTACTGAAATTTCGATGTCTACAGAGAAGTGTAAAGTCGACCCGTAGGAGGATGTAGACAACGGTAGCCTTTATGACGATCGCTGTAACCTACAAAGACACACTCAAGAGAGTGGGGTTGTAATTTGTTAGAAACATAATCACCAAGAAATGGGTAACATACACACCCAAATGTTCGAAGGAATGAGTAATCTGGATTGTGAGAGAACAATTTTTTATATGGAGAAGCTCATTCAAGTACCGGAGTCGGAAGTCGATTGATCAAGTAAACGGTTGTACAAAGGGTTTCAGGCCACAAATGATGAGGCATTTGAGCAGTAAGAAGAAGAGTACGACTCATGTCAGCAATATGACGATGCTTTTGTTCAGCCAAACCATTTTGTTGAGGTGTGTGTGGACAAGAAAAACGATGCACAATTCCATCAGTGGCACAAAATTGCTTAAATTGGAAGTTATCATATTCCTTACCCCCCATCACTTTGGATTTGTTTAATGGACAAAGAGAATTGATTTTTGACAAACATGACAAAGTTGGAAAAATGACCAAAGGCTTCAGATTTGAGACGCATTGGAAAAATCCAAGAGAAGTGAGTATAATCATCCGTAAATAAAACATAATAACAGAACCCAAAAGTAGAAACAACTGGAGACATCCAAACATCCGAATGTATTAATTCAAAAGGAGCAACAGAACTATGTTCATTAGAAGAAAAAGGAAGCCTAACAGATTTGGCCAAGGCACAATGGCTACAAAATTGACTTGCCAAACATTTAGAATCAAAAAAGGACTAAGAAACAAGTGTTCAAAGCACTTTATTGGACAGATGGCCAAGACGATGATGCCAAACGGAAGACGACACGACTACAGAAGCAAGTGCAACCGGTGAGGTAGACGAGAGCATTGGAAGAACAGGATAAAGACCATCTTTACATTGGCCCTGAAAAAGAAGAACTCTAGTGGTTAAATCATGAATTGTATAGCCCCATGGAAAGAATGTAATGCTAACATGAGAATCCTTAGTATATTGAGCACAAATAACAAATTTTTATGTAAGGAAGGAACATGAAGAACATCGGAAAGACAGAAGACATAAGTACCAGAAGTGAAAGAGACATTACCAGAATGAGTGATGGGGAGGGAAGTGCCGTTACCAATAACAACTTGGTTAGAAGAAGACTGTGGAATTAAGGTAAAAGCCGAGCATGCATCATGAGTCATATGATTGGTAGCTCCAGAATCAAAGTACCAATTAGGGTTGGTTGAAGAGGCAATATGCATACCATCAAAAGCATGAGGATGAGGACACCAAGCAACAAGATAACCATCCTGTCGACAATTCCAGCATTGCCGAAGAGGAGGCGGAGCGCCTAAGAGGCCTTGAAAGGAGCCAGGTTAAGTGGCGGGCGGACAGAACCATATCTCTATGCCAAGGCAACAGCAGGAAGCAAGTGGGTTGAACACGGGTGCGAGGGGTGCAGGGTTTGTGCGGATTACGAGCAGAAAGAAAAGCACTTGGTTGAACATTGGGAGTCATCTGCACGGCCAACTCTTGTTGAGCCTCAAAGGATAAAAGACGCGCACAAAGATCAGAAAAACTAGGCAGTGGTGGGAAATGGAGAATAGCCGTAACAAGCATGCCATATTCGGGACCCAAACCACGAAGAATAAAAGTGACCAAATCAGAATTGGATACAAGGTCATTGATGGCAGTCGATTGATCCGCAATATTCTTAGCATGAGCAAGGTAGTCAGAGATCGACTTGGTACCTTTTGTGATGGAGAAAAGATGAAGTTTCAGTTGAGCCCCATGAGCAAGAGATTGCTGCGAAAATTTCTGTTGAAGACAATCCCAAATATCCTTGGAGGTAGAGAGACCAACCACTTTAGGAAGAATAGTTTCAGACAATGTGGCACAGAGAATGCTGATCAGACTTTGATAAGTTTGAAACCAAGAAAAGTAATCAGGATTAGGTTGGGAATCTTCGGATGCAGCTAGAGGGTCAGAGGACTTGTCAGAAGAGGAAGTGGGAGCAAGAGTGGCAGGTGGACATGGGAAAGAACCATCAACAAAACGCCAAAGATGCTTTCCCATATTAGATAATTGGTGTCAGTGAATTTCACAGAAACAAGATGAGAAATGTTAGGAATGGAGAGAGGAGGAAGCCATGAGAGAGAGAACACAAAGAATGAGGATTGAATGAGGCTTGTAATTAGAAACTTGATACCATGTAGAAACTGATTTTCCTTGATTATAGCACCATCAATATACAGTGTGTATATATATATATATATATATATATATATATATATATACAGGTGAGTAGCTAATACTCTACGGTTACATCTTAAAGACCATAAATATAGACATAAATATGGAGTTACAACATAACGGACAATTGACCAATATTCTATAATTAGTGTCATTAACTATTGTAACTCCCTAACAGTTTCGGACTGTGATGAGACTTGTATTCCATATAATATATCCTTTGATCTAAGGGATATATCCGAGAATGTTTCTTAATTTGGATAAGATGTGTTCTGTATAAATTACTCAAAAACTTTTTTTCAGTTCTGCTCATTCTTTTATTCAGTGACGAATTCGAAGAACACTTTGCAGTATGTAATTAACTTTTATTTATTTATATTGGTGCCTCCATTGTTAGGCTACAAACTACTCACCTTGGACTTTCTTCCGATGCCTTTGATGTTAAGTGGAAGTTGATTGTGTGAAACTTTCTTCATCTTGTGGTGGATTTGTTTCAGTGGCTTGTGAGAGGACTTGCATTGCTACAAAACTGATACCTTTTATGCACTAGGAACTTGTTGAAATTTCAGATTTCAGATAATTTAATTTGTGCCCTCGTAAGCTTTTGATTATGCAATGCCAAGTCCTACTATGGAGTTTGACCACAGTACAAATACTGCATTTTATTTGCATAGTTTTTTTTTTTTTTCAGATTAATTTCACAATTTTGGTTGCTAATTATTGTCGAGAAAGAAATAATTAAGCGTATATACTAACCGTAGTTATTTTGGTTAACACGTTGCGTGATTCTAAGAGGGGGTAATGGTAGACCAGGGTTAATGGGTTGAGCAAAAACAAACTCTAATTCAAAGGGAACAAATTCCTAAAAGATGTGAAACAAAAAAAGAACAGGATTTGATGAACGCTGGAGAGTACAAGAACAATAACTCCCACACTTATGTAACGTTTGCTAATCCATAATTGGAATGCAAGTAACGAGGAGACATAATCAAATTTACGTTCAAGTTGTTTAATGCATGCCATTTATATCATCGGAAGAGGAAGAGGAAGAGGCTTACTAATCCAATGTTAATTAGCCACTTGAGCGCATCCATCCACCAACAAAAATGCATGAACCATCTTCATTCCCCAACGCCCACAATTCTTAATGATGGAATTTTACACCAACTTATAATTTGAACTCTTCAGATGATTACAATAATAAACGGTTCATTAAAATTCTATTTATTGAATTTATTGGTGGTGGGAGTTGTTGATCCCTCAATCGTCACCCCATTTTATTATAAAGCGCCAAAATCCTTACCCTACCCTCAGACACAGGAAGGAAGCAGAGACAGAGAAGAGAAATGGCGACTCTGAGGTCTGCCAAGAAGTCGTACGAGGACGCCAAGGCAGAAGGGACCCGTCTTCAGGAGGCTCAGTGGGCTAACGTGATCGGAAACATGTTGAAGAAGAGTGGGAAGTACGCAGAGGCGCTCAAGTGGCTAAGTATCGACTACAATCTTTCCGTCAAGTACTTGTCCCAAAACCACTGCCTCCCCGCCTGTCAGTCACTCGGCGAGCTCTATCTTTGCCTTGAAGTTTTCCAACACGCTCTTCTTTTCCAGGTATACAATTTTGGCTTTTGGCTTTTCCATTTCATTCAATCTTCTTTATATATTTTCAGTTATAGAGTTGGGATTTTCCTAGTTGCTTGCGTGCTAAGAAATATGGGGAAAGAGAAATTAGAAAACCAGGAAAAGATAACTTGAGTGGATGGGTGTTAAAGATATGACGGGTCTATAAGTGCTTCTGATCATTTTGGCAATCGAGATTTAATTTTTTCATCATTTTAGCCAATTATCCTAATTTCTTTTCACAGTTTCTACAGAGCTTTATCAAGAAATTATTTAGCGCGGATGCTTGAATCGTGCTTTTTAGAAGAAAGGGTTGAGTTTTTTACTACTGTTATCTTTGTTCCAGAAAAAACATTTACAGCTTGCTGAGGATGCCAATGATCTTGTTGAGCAGCAAAGAGCAAATACCCAACTAGGCCGAACCTACCATGAAATGTTTTTAAGATCCGAGGATGACCACTTTTCTGTTCAGAATGCCAGAAAGTATTTCAAGGCTGCAATGAAGCTTGCACACATTATTAAGGAAAGCCCACCTACTAATAATTGTTCTTTCCTAAAAGAATACATTGACGCTCATAACAATACAGGAATGCTTGAGTTTGATCTTGATAATCTGGAAGAGGCTCGGAAAATATTGACTAAAGGATTGGAGATTTGCAATGAACGAGAGGTAGTGGAGGATGATGATGGGCGCAGCAGGCTCCATCACAATCTTGGAAATGTTTACATGAAGCTGAGGATGTGGGATAGTGCTAGAGAGCACATTGATAAGGACATTTTGATATGTCAAAGAATTCAACATCGTCAAGGGGAAGCAAAGGGGTACATCAATCTTGGTGAATTGCATTATCGTGTTCAGAACTTTCAGGAGGCACTACGATGCTACCAAAAAGCTCTTGACCTGACAAATCTAATGGAAGGTGAGGATGCTCTACTCAAGCAAATTCATCAAAATATTGGAACTGTTAAAAAAGCCACTGAAGTAATGAACGAGTTGCAAAAAGAAGAGCAGAATCTCAAAATGCTAACAGGAGACAAAGAAGATGCAAGAGGCAGATCATGTGAGAGGCATTGTCTGCTACAGGTAATTGCCTCTCTTGACTGTCTCATTGAGAAATCAAGGACGACCCTTGCCTGGGCGAAGGTACATATTTTGCAAATATTTTCTCCGCCTTTCTACAATTTTGAAATGCTTCATTGCTTTCATATGAAACAGTCCTGCATGGTGTTTGTACTTCTGACTTTCTATGCATAAAAGTTGCTAGAAAAGAGAAGACTCACAAAATTAGTTTGTGAAACATAGATTAGAGTGTCTTCTTTATTCCTAACCTTGTTTCCATTAGAGTAACTATGTTAGGACACAAGGTTCAAGAGTGATTCATCATGGTAAAATGTTACTTGAGTGATTTAAAAAAACAGAAGCGAGACAATTCAATGGGTAAACCTCGATGATCTGAGGGCTCTATTCATCTCTATTATATATGAGTACATTGCTTGATTTACAAGGATATGGAAGATGCACGAATATTACATTTAAGGCAAATAGAATCCCGAAGATATTCCTACAATTAATTACATAGAAGAATCAGGTGATAACCAATTAGCTACAAACTTGGTTGGCCGATTTATTTTTCACAGTTAACTGCAAACTTATTACCAGGAAATATAAATATATTCTTCACATAATTAAAATTTGTTCCTGCCTTTATTGTGAGTTCATTTTTCAGCTCTGTGAGTTTGCAAGCATGAAGAAGATAATAGCAAGTGAACTTGACAACAAGCAAATGCTCATTGATTCATTTTTGGTTATTGGAGAATCATACGAGAACTTAAGAGAATTCGACAAAGCCCTGGACTGGTATACGAGGAGTTGGAAAGAGTACCAATTCATTGGTGACTTTGAGGTGAGTTACATTTTCCTTAGGATCATACAACGTGCTTTGTGTTTTGTTGTACTAACAAAGAATTAGCATACATAGAATTAATAAAAATGCTTTTATAATTTCTTAGTGTGAATTAACATAATTGCTAATTCTCAGGGGCAAGCATTAGCGAATATTAATATAGGTAATGTTCTAGACCACACTGACAACTGGCAAGGAGCGTTAGCCGCATTCAAAGAAAGCTACAAGTATGGTTTTTCTAGTCGACATTTTCACGAATATTGTTTTTGTTACCTGAAATAAAAGGGCCTTTTTTAACTCATTTTGTATTGAATTGCAGGCTTGCTGTTAGGGCTAACCTTCCTTATGTACAGATTACTGCTCTAGAGAATATTCACTACAGCTACATGATCAGATTTGACAAAGCTGAAGAGGCCAGGTAATCTGATTGATGCATGCCTTTTAACATATATACTAAAGTGGAATTCCATAGAAAACTAAATGCAAAATGGTTAATACTCATTTTCTATAATGTGTTAGTATGTATTACTATTAACGAAAGTACCTCTATGTAGGAGAGTGAAGCTTCTAGCTGAGGAATTGAAACAGCAAATAAATAAAGAGCTTCATACAGAAAATGTGCCAGAGGATTTGTGTTCCAGTTCCAACAGTCGTTCTAAATGTGCTATCCTTGTCGCTGAAAATATAGTGCATAGGAATGCTGCTTCCCGTCCTATTTTTCTTTCTTCTGCTGATAAACACAATGTGAGTGCTACTCAATTTAGTTGAAAGCAAATGGTTCTATTTGATTATGCTTCCTTCGTTTTCTTGTCACTATTATAGTCGTATCATTTACTTGTGGTTTTTTTTTTTTTGTGCTAATAGAGACTGTGTCAAGTTGTTTCATTTAAGATTGACAAAGATGTAATACATTACCCAATGAAGGCTACTGCTAAGTTAAGCATTGAATCTATGAAGGTTGAACTAGCATGCTTATATTACTTGGGACTTCCTGTGGAAAGAAGATCAGATGGTACGACATTTGTTGAATTTGGCATGTTCTAGTTTCTAGTAGTTATAGCCTAGATGTTGGTCTCTTTTTCACAGCCAGACATTACTATTCTAACTCAAGTAATATTTTTCTCCATTGCAATGTGAAAAACAGTAGATCCTTCAAAACAAGTGCTTAATCATACTGATACTTCTCTTGTGCATATTCTCAGGAATTCTTCCAATAATTAAGGACATAAAGCTTGGTGGACGAGTTATCGAATCCCTGGAAACACTTGAAGCAACGGTTTCAGAGCATATGGGACAAGTCTTGTTTGATGCTTGCATTGGGGGTATGCATTGGAATAGTTTCAAGTTTATTTCATCATATTGTGATACAATCATAGATTTGGTTCATGATTTTCCTTCATACATGCCATGCCGCTGTAAGACCTACCCAGTTTGCATTACCCAGGTAGTATATCCTGGCAGGTTTAAATGAACATGCAATCAGGTTAAATTCTAGACATCGAAGCGATTAGTTGAAATAAATTGTAGATATGTTTTTCTGTAGACCACCAAGACACAGTCAGCATTACAAATTGGCCTAATAAGTAGGATTTAACTGAGCTAACCAATGAACAATATAGCTAAGCAAAGAAGCCAATTATTCAATCAAATTCAATCCAACCTATTTATTAATTATATTGGATCCATTTCAAAAAAAGTACAATCTAGACCAAATGTCGTTTATAGGCCTCTTTGGGACAACGCGGTCACTGTCACTTTATGTTTTAGCTTCAGTCTGGTGCCTAAGGTCCCGTTCGACAACTATATCCTTTTTAAATTTTAGTTTTCACTTTTCGTTCTTCAAGTATGGGGAAAGTATATGAAGGGAGGGGTGAAGAAGGGTGGTGAGAAGAATGGGAAGAAATAAAGATGAATGAATCAAATCAAAATCTAGAATGTGAAAACAACTTAACATAGCTTTGTTTTGGTTTTTAGTTTTCATGTATTTTTACCTTCCCTCATACATTTCTTCTACCCCTTTGTCACATCCCTCGCTCTTCTATGTCTCTCATTGTCTAATTTATTTCCCTTTTATTTTTAACAAAAAAAAACTAAAAACAAAGGTTATTGGGTCCTAAGATTCTCAATAATATGAAAATCATCCAATTCTTTTTTTCTTTTTTTCTTTTGGTTATATTCATGGTTTACATGTTACCATCACAGGATGGAATCAGAAGCGCTTGATAAAGCTATACACCGATTACTGCAACACGTTATGTGAGACGCCTAATATGAAAGTGCTTATGAAACTATATGATTGGGAGGTAAGTCCAGAGTCAAGTGTATTAAGGAAATGCTTAGCAGATACATCGTATGGTAAGGACGCTTGAAGGCGTTATTTATACTTGGCGGTTTTTTTTTTTCTTGTCTACTAGATGACAGATGGTGACGTTGCTGCTTCTGGATGTGGTTTGCAAGATTTTTCAATAACTCCATTGTTGAATGCCTTAGATGCCTATAAAGAAATTGCAATGCTAGACCTTTCTCACAATTTGTTAGGTATTAGAAAATGAAAGCTCTTCTCTTTACTTCTTCATGCATTCATTACAACGTCGAATATTTGCTGAGTATTTGCAGCTTATTTGCTATTATCCCTTTAGGAAATAGAACGATGGAGAAGCTTCAGAAAGTATTATCAGGCACTACAGCTTATGGGTTATGGTTGGATGTACACTGCAACCTATTTGGTCCAACTGCTTTGCTCAAGGTTTGCAAGCAACTTTGGATCAAATTTCATATTAAATTTGAAGAATTCAAACCACATGTTTCTCCTAATTATTGATACCACTTTATTCAGATTTGTGAATGCCCTGTGCTCGTTGCTCGATTGGAAGTGCTAAATATATCCGAGAACCCTCTCACTGATGCATGCGCATCTTATCTTTTAGATGTCTTGGAAAAGTGCAAGGGTGAATTGCTTTTCTTGTAGCTCAGTTGATTTCAACTTTGGTTTCTGTTCCTTATCAATTGTTCTTAGTATTATGTTTTCATTTTTGGAAATTTTCTTTTCATATTGCTACTGTTCCGGTGGTCTCTTCTTTGCAGTCCTTTACAGCTTGAGTATGGAGCGCTGCTGTATCACATCTAGAACAATTCTTATGGTTGCTGATGCATTGGACGCTGGATCTCCACTTGACCGACTTTGTATAGGTATATCGTTTGACTCATATGATATTTGTAAATCTAGATCATTCTTTGGACTCTTTATTTCATATTAGGTTGTCTCACTTCCTCATCTTTCACAGGATACAATGACATTGATGAAAATGCCCTTGCTAGCTTACTTGTCAAGCTTGGCTCTCTGAAAAGGTTTAGATTGACTCGAAACCATTTTTTGTCCTTGTTTCTGCATGAATAGGTTACAGAAACATACTCAAATTGATGTAACTATATTATTTGCCTTTGCTATCTTATCGTAGATTTTCAAGTTTGAATCTAAACGGTTTGAAGCTAAACAAGCGTGCAGTTGATAGCCTTTGCGACCTTGCTTCAACCTTGCCCTTGTATGAACTAATGCTTCGGGAAACTGGTATTGGAATGGTGAGTGGAACATTTGGAATTTGAAAGCCGCGAGGCATATCTCCCCTGTTGCTATCCTCTCAGTTTCGTTTATTTATTGCAGGATGGAGCGTCATTAGTAACCAATTCATTGTTCATCAGGACTAACGAGATTTTCAAACTTGACTTATCGTATTGTGGACTGACGTCTAATTTTGCTCTGAAACTTAGCACCAATTCTTGTATGATTTGTGGCATTTACGAGCTGAACCTTTCAGGAAATCCTATTAAGGAAGAGGTATGTTGTATTCTTTTGCTAACATCCTACCTAGAACAATGATCAATTGTCGACTCAACTATGAACATGAACACAGGGTAGCAATGCATTATCGTCGATGCTTTTGAATTCTAAATGTTGTCTGCGAGTTTTGGTCCTTGAGAAGTGCGAGCTTGGAGTTACCGGGTTTCTTCAAATAATCCAGGCAGCATCAGGTTCCCACACTAATCCTCTTCACTTTCAGTTGTCAATACCATTACTAGTCCAATGAAAATCAAGTTACGAATTGTTGTTAGGTTCCCTCACTAATTCTTCTTTTGAGGAGCTCAATCTCGCTGATAATGTCAAATCTCTTCATGTTGCTGATCAAGTTGGGCTCGACGATGGCTGCAAAACCACATGCCAAGGAGAATTCTCGTTCATTCAAAAGGTTTCAACTGCCATTTGCAGGGCAACGAATTTGCGATTTCTGGACCTTAGCAAAAATGGTTTTTCCAAACAAAATGCAGAGGTATTTTATTCCGCGTGGTCGAGATCAAGACCGAGTAACAGTTCCTTGTATGGTTCACGTGGTTGGCATATGGAGGAGGAGACCATCCATTTGTTTTTGGAGGGTATCAAGTGCTGTGTGAAACCTTGCTGCAAAACGAACAGCTTTTCTTGCTCTGTTTATTGCCAGTGAGGGAAAACATAAGCATTTTTGCTGAAGCAGGACTCGTTTTATTTCACAGTTATATTCTGTTTTGTTGGTATTTTGATTTTGGAGGAGAGGGAATCGAACTTGGAAACAACATTATCCCCAGTACACCTTCTTGGTTATATATAAACAATTTAAGCACTTCAATCACCCAATTTATAGGTGTTTTGACAGATTACTACTGTTTATGCTATGTTATGAGAATTAACCGCTCAATGTCCGAGTGTTTGATAAACTTTTATATAAAATTGGTGTGATTATTTTCCGTATGATTAAAAACACAAGTATTATTCAAGACAAATATGTGAGGGTCAAGTGCAAAGCTTTTGGGTAAGTGCCAAAAACAAAAGGAAAAGCAAATATTTTTAATTTCTACGGAATCAAAGAATTTACTGTATCATTAAAGACACAAGTATTATTTAAGACAGACTTGTGAGGATTGCTATCTAAAGGTAGCCTTCAAGTTTTTTTCTCTCCTCCGTGAGAGTTGTCTTCTCCGTCTTTGTGAGAGCATTTACTTCCCATCCTACCGTATCTAACCACCACCTCTGATTTGGCTTTATTTCCTAGGAACATTCCCACAAAAGCCCCCAACTTGCGCAAAGCATCAAACAAATTTTTTTAGAGTTATTAGCCTATCTAGCTCAGCAACCCTAATTAAATTCCATATTTACTCTGGTATAGTTCGAACTGGGTAGCTGTGGGCGGAGAACTTATAAAGATTACTCAATCTCAACCCCTTTGGCATTTATTATCTGGGATGGGACAACCAACCACCCAAATCCTAGAAGTTATGACAAGATCTGGAGCCAGAGGTATTAGGTACCAAGAAGGCAACAATCACAAATTCCTATTGCTTTCTTGTGTATCATGATTTGGGCTTTTTGCAGGAGGAGTTTATCGGAGGAACAAGAACGAAATCCGGAATACGGATCTACTTTCGGAGTTAACACCCAAAGAGTGCTTCCAACTAGGAGATTATTCAGACCAGGGCCCAGAAGGAGTATCATGGCTCAACAAAATGTGGATGAATCACCGGCCCAACTAGAAGGGGCGACGGAACTCACAAGTATGGAGCATGGAATCAAAATGATCAGGACAGTGCTGGTAGACCAACCACTCAATAAGTGAAGGCTTATCCTAAGGAGTGCTTGGAAGGATTTGGGAGAAATATAGGTCAACTGGGTAAAGGACAACACTTATGTTATCATTGTCAAAGATGAAGAGGCTGCATCACAGATTCTAAGTCAGGTTCCTTGGGCAGTGATTAAGAAAAACCTCTTGGTAAAACCGTGGCCTTCAAACAGTTTCTTCGGCAACGGTTTTTTCCAAGCAAGATGCAAGAGGGGACGAGCGTGTCTCAGCACTTAGACAAGATGGAGAAGATTTAAAAAGAATTTGTAGCAGTGAGAGTAAAAATGACTGATCGTGATCAGTGACCGGGAAGTCTGCTGAAGTCGTTTGAGTCTTTGACAACCACTCTCTCCCGCGAAACTCCTCCTTTAACTATGATTGATCTGACCATTTTCTTTAGGCAGAAGCTGAAAAGAGATTTGAACAGCAGTCTGAAAAGACTAATGCTGCGCAAAAGAATATGTTTAAAAAGAAGAAAAAGCACAAAGTGAGTGCAGAAGGACCTAAAAAACATTGTCTCTGCAGGAGGTCCAAACTCAACTAGTCCCATTTTGGGTACAGATGAAAGGCATTCCGATAAACCTGAGTATCGTAAACAATGTGAAAAAACTTGCAGCTGCAGCAGACGACTTTCTAGATCTGGAGGACATAACTCTAGCCAGAGTTTTTCTTTGAGTAAGAATTCTGGTCAACACCATCAACCCCTTAGCGACAGGATGTTGGCTTGCTAGGGCTTGTGACCGTGACTTGTGGGAGAATTGGTCATGGAGTCAATGAATGCACCTTTGAGCAAAGCCAGGGTGAAGCAGTAGGATATGGGGAATGGACAAGAACAAAATGGTGTGCGAAGTGTCGAAACCCAACATTATGCCACCAGTAAGCCTGGCAGAACGATGGCAAGAGGGGATGTGCCGTGTGAAATGTTCGATAAGTACAAGAGGGTGCGAGCCCCACATGTGAGGAGGCAAGCATGGATATGGGCCATATGGGGGTAGGGAACATCAAAGTGAATTGCTAAGTACAAGGAAGGTGTCAGAAGGATGCTTTAAGGGCATCAGTCACTATGAGGACAGACAGTCCCCACCAAGGAAAGATAGCTACTCAGCACTGCCTGGTCAACATCAACTAATCGTAGGGAATAGTTTATTTGGAGGATACGCTTGGCAATTTGTTGGGCTTTCAAATGGAACCCAGCATGGGCCCACGAATGGAACCCACAATCGAGGGATTCGGATTGAAGAAATAGCAGACGATGGGCCTCTGTGCAGGAAGGTTGGGATGGCTTCGAGAGTGAGCCCAAACTCTCAAAATCCTGGCACTATATGTAACTTTTTGCCTCCTACGGCCCATGGCCAAACTGGTTTGGGATTTGAGCAACCACGTGAATACCATAACATCACTGGACTCTTTGGGTCGATCGAGTTAAAAAGACTAGCTGAGATATCTAAATTAAGTGGAAGTTAACCAACCAGGAAATGTATAATAAAGGGGGAGACTAGCATGTCCAGTGGAAGAGGAAGATGATGCAAAAATAGACCTGGGAACTTGGCCACTAGAGGACTCAATTTAGTTGGGGATACAAGACTCTTTACAAATGACAACTTACAAGATGTTCCAATAGTTCTGGAGAATAATTACTCCGCCCACTTGGATGATTTACATAACTCAAAAGGGGCATTATTCGGACGGAAAGGGAAGACTCAAAGCATGGCGGTGGCGGCTGGCTTGAAGCAACTGATGCATGAAATTATACGTGCACAAATTAAACCCTCTTTTTGTCAATTGTAGTATAAGTATAAGTAGGGATCGTTCTGGACCGGGGATTAGGAGGGATTGTTAATCTCTTGGAAACTGACTCAAAAACGTAAAAACACAATATAAAACACTATGCTAGGCTCAAAGAATGCAAAACTGAACTTTAAAACACTAAGACAAACCAAAGACTCAAAACATTTTAAAACATAAACTAAACAGATTCTAAGCACTAAGAACAAGAAAGTAAAAGGGGGGTTTTGCTTTGACGAAAATTGTAATAACAAAACAAGTTAATAAACTAGGCAGAATTGTAAAACGAAGGGATAGAATGGATGGGATGGCTAGCTAAGGGGTTCATCTCCACACATGTTATACTTGCATACAAAATGATTTCTAATTGCTTTTCAATAAACCATGAATTCTCAACGCCCCGGGTTAATTAGGTCCGCTTAAATTAACCGTCAAGTTTTCCTTAAGTTAATGAATTCGATGATTGCATACGACAACCCAAAGCATTCCTCACAAGTTCCCTACATGAATTGCATAATAGAGATACAAGCAAGAATCATTAAGCAACATGAAAACTATAAGTGTTGACGAGGCATTCGTTACTATGATTGCATGAAACTTATGCCAAGAATATGTTTAACGCGATTGTTTATAAGCAACCTCCACTACTTGTGAATATAAGTTCATAACTATTACGTGAAATTCACTTATATTCTAGCGTCAAATTCATGCATGAAAATTAAGCGTCAACTCTCAATAAACATACATAAATACGTTATCAATCAAATAGTTAAACAAATTGAATTCACAACTTATGAAACGTAATTAGAAGTACTCAAATCATATTGCAAGCATAAACATATATTTCGAATCACCCCCTAGCTAAGGGGGGGGTTTAGTTCCTCATACGTACAAAACAAAGAGAATTGAAACTAAACATTGAAATCAAAGAAACGCCTAAACATTCCAACAACTCAAACTTGAATTGTATGAACGTTTAGGCCCTCTTATCTTCCTCTTTATTGTGGCATAAGGTCTAAGGGATGTTGTTGGTGTGTTGAATGGATTGGGGAATTATGGAAATGGATGAGGAGTGGTGTTTGGATTATAAGGGAATGGGGACTCACGGCTAGGAGAAGGAATGGAAGTGTTTGTGGTGTGTTGTGTATGAAATGAGATGATGGAATGGGGAGTGAATGCAAGGGTATTTATAGGAGGAGTGGAGGGAACATGACAGCTAGGAGGTGGGTGGAAATGTGGCTGCAAGGTGAGTGAATGATTATGAGTGAATGCATGTGGATGTGGCTGATTTGGAAAGCTGGAATTATGTGGTGATTTGCACGGCAAAGGGTGGAGAAAAGGTGTGTGAATGTGGCTGATTTATGAAGGGAATGCATGTGCATTAAAGGGGGAAATGTTAGGTGGAAAATGCATGTGAAGGTGTTTGTATGTTGACAGATTTGAAAGGGAATGCACGGCATGGTTGATTTCTGGTGGTTGTGAGGTGGAAAGCTAGGTGGAAAGCTGGAAATGGCATGTGAAGGTGCTGGAAATGTGAGTAGGCCACGGCATGGAGTGTGGGATAAGCTGATTTGTGGTGCAATGATGAAGAATGCATGTGGAATGGATGCAATGATGAAGGAATAATCTGGAAATGCAAGGTGGAAAGCTGGAAGTGTGAGTGAAGGCCATGGCAAGGGTGTTTTCTTGATGGTTTTGGGGTTGTGATGCATGTGAATGCATGTGAATGATAGCTAGGGTGTGTGATGATGAGTGTATGTGGAATAAAGAATGAATGGTGGCTGAATTGAAGGTGTGGGAAGCTGGAAAGTTGAAGGGGATACACGGCACAAGATTTTCAGGATGCATGTGTGTGTGAATGGTGGTGAAAATGCATGTGATGAAGAATGAATAAAGAAATGCATGTAGGGTTAGCTAGGTTGGCTTTGTTTGGATGCATGTGTTGGCTCAATTATATTGTTGGGAAGGCATGTGGATTAGGTGGAATGTAGGGGGAATAATGATGAAGTGGGAGGTGGAAGAATGTGGTTGGAAAGTGGAATGATGAAGTGGGAGTGCACGGCAACAACAAGGTTGCTGTTTTGTGGTGGGTTGATGAAAGAATAATGTCAAGGTGTGGGATTGTTAAAGGGGGAAGTGCATGTGCAAGGATGAAGAAATGATTATGGATGCATGTGATTGGTGGGAACAAAGAATGTATAAGGGGTACACGGCACAAAGGAGTTGTTGTAAAGGGGAACATGGTGTGTGTAATTTCATGTGTGTGAATGTGGGTTAAAGTGATGCACGGCTAGGAAATGTGAGTGAATGATGTGCATGTGTGTGAATGCATGTGGAATTAAGAAAAGTATGGAAGTGAATAAATCATAATAGGGCTAGTTTAAAGGGCTAGGGTTTAAGTACATAGAATGGGCCTAAAATAGGTTGGTTTGCATGGCATAGAATGTTTGATTTGGGCTAGAGGTTTTCCATGGCTCAAAGAATTGTTTGATTGGGCTAGGCCCTTTGTTTTATGTCCCCAAAGAGCATACAAGGCTTCAATTTCGTCCATCCTCTTTGCTCCATGATTAAGCTATCCAATCCATGCCCAAAAGTGCCCCAAATAGCCTCAAAATGCACTTTCTTGCTCCCTAAGCCCTTAGAACCTGAAAACACACAAAAGAAGCATAAAGGACTAAAATAACTAGAGAAACATAACGTAAATGCACGAGAACAAGCCATTTAAGTCGCATGAATATGCTCCTATCAAACTCCCCCACACTTATCTTTTGCTAGTCCTCGAGCAAAACAGAATAAAAACAAATAAACAAAACGACACTAAACACGTAAAACACAACCTACACCTTCCAACAATCGTTTCAGGGATTTCCAATGCACATGACAAGTTAAAAATCATTATTCCCACATAATTTAGCCATCTTTACCCTTAAGTACATTCTTAATCATAGTCACCACAAACTAGTTCACAATTAAGCATTTAAAACCATGTTTTGAATGTAGTAACATGCCTTAGAGAATTTGCTCAATTCCTTACAAGATATGCACTCGATTTTCACTCAGATTTTCTAACTACACACCCTAATCTAGTCATATGTGAGAAGATTGATGTAAACATGAAAACGAACACTCACATATATGTATCACAAAGAACGCAATTTTTTGAAGTTAATAAACATGTTTAGATATGATCTCATGAATGGAATGCTACTACTTAGACGCGAGAACCAGTGACACCATATGCTCATACCAAGTTCAAACTCCACAAATTGAAACACATAACACTCAAGATTGAAGTCACGGGTTGTAATGGGGCTTGGGGCATGTGGATAACAAAGAAGGGATATGGAAAACAAAGGTTTTTAAAGAAATAGTGAGCAAAGCACTTGAATCAACTTAGAATTCACTTTTGAATGAAAACTCAACTTTTGAACAAAAAGGGAGAATTTAGACAATTTACGGCCAGAATTGGTGTTTTGGACCCTTTCTTCAATCACTCATTCTTTCATTTTTTTTTTTCAAACTCTTTTTTCTTTCTTTCTTTCTTTTCTTTTTTTTTTCTTTTCTTTTGAATCTCAAAACATACATAAACACTTAAACATTCTCTCCCCCACACTTATTTTCTTTCATAATGTAACTCAAAAGGAATTCAATTAAGTCATGCTCACTATCTTTTAAGAACTAGGGTGGGGATTGTCCTAAACTAGGCTAGGTGAGGAAAATGTGGGTAAACAAAGAATAAAGGCTAAACAAGGCTCAACGGGGTTAAAACTTACAACATATACGAAATATGGGAAGTAAGGCTATTTGGCTATGGTGGTGGTCACTACACAACTTCTTCTTGAATATGTGTTATGCAAATCAATAACATGCTTTGAATGAAATGGGCATGA